GGATCAATTGAACGCCAATAGAGTCTGTAATATAGAAGTTTGTAAGCAATGAATGGATTGTCTGATTGTATGCATCGACCACTTGATAATGTGATGCCATTTGATTGACAGCTCCGTCGACCACAATCTACTTAAAGGTGGCGCGCGTACAGCCAGACCCTCAACACGTGCAGGACTATCACGTGCCGGTCCTCCAGTTCCCCGTCACACCCAATCAGTGGGATCTCACCACTCAACAGGTCTCAACACCTCTCACTCTCTCTTTCACTTATTATAGTTTATAACTTATTATGACATTTATTTCTGGCTTTCATTTTGATCACTCATTATAATTAGAGAATGAGATATCGGTGTGTCGTTTGTGACATTCATTTCTATTCAATTTACATTTAAAATTAATCATTTTGTAAATTATTTATAATATGTTTAAAACGTGAGAATTAATTGAAAAATGAGTTAATTTAACGCATTATTTCCGATATTTCAGAGCTCTGTTTAAAATAAAGTTTTTACTAATTATTTAATTTTATCTCTGATTGCCTTTCAGTGGGACTATATAAGTGTGAAGGTATAGGTTATGTGCACCTGTCGTGTATCCCTTTCCTGTGCCCTCCCTTTACTCTTTCACTCTTCTTCCCGATAGTTTTGCTTCCTTTCAAAATTAATTACAACTCTTATTATTAAAATTTAATTATAAAATATACTGTATGTTAATGTTAAACACATTGAGTTCCTAATCACATGCAATTTAGTCGTTAATTAATGATATAATGTGTAAATTGAAGATTAATTGGCTGATTGTAAACAACAGATTCTTCCATATATTGATGGCATTCGTCACATCTCTAGAATCGCATTGGAAGCCGACGTTGAGATGAGTTTAGTGAAGGCCTGCGTTCAGAATATGATTTATTACGGAATTATAACATTGATTCCTATATTTCAATATTCAAACGTCTACTTAACGACACCTCGTTTAGTGCATTTGGCCGAAAACATTAGCCTTCAGGACGAGTGCATTAGGTCTATAGCCAACTCATTGGCTCTCCAGTAGATAACCACAAATTTTTGTTTCATTTTTAGATTTGTATCGAAACAGGAATCGCAACCATTGGCCACATTTCGCTCGATATTCCAACTCTACTGTCATATGTGTCCGGGAATGACAGTCAAAGATCTGTGTATGAAATTCAATCCATCCGCTCATGGAATCGATGAGAAAGCGCTCATTAAATTCGGTTTAATGAAAGGCTTTATCAGAAGGTTTCAGAAATATCCCATATTTTTGGCTCCAAAGCCTCATTCGGTAGAGAATACGAGAGGACTCTATCGATACTTTGATGGCAACCATTCATACGATGAGATCTGTTGTAAAGAACTGAAGAGTTATCAGGAACTCGAAGAGAGAGTTGAAAAACATCCGGCAATTGTTGTTTGTTGGAAATGATTGTTATAAAGAGTTTATATATTTGTTATGTTTATAAATTATAATAAAGAAATTACAAGACATTTATAAAGTTTTCTAAATTAATTCAATATTCATTGATTCATTCAAAGATAAATAAATAAATAGAGAGAGAGAGAGGGAGGGAGAGAGAGAGAACTGTTTGATTTAAATAATAATCTGGTTTTACTATCAAAAAGTGTTTAAAAATATTTCTTATGTTAAAGTTATAATTCAAAGAATTGATTGAAATAAATTAAGAATCTAGCTGTACTGAATAAAATACTGCAAATACTAGAAATTATAGTCTAGAATACTGTATTTGCAATTATATTTGTTGGATATTGTTGTATTTAACATGTATCGAATAACTACAAATTGAACAATTTGTAAAATTTATTATTTATTGTTTACAATTTTTATTGATTTATAAACATAAATGTACAAATTAATTATTTAACTTAAATTAGACATAAATAGAGTCTAATTAAAAGAATTATTTTAGTTAATATACAAATTGAGACTAATTTAACTATAAATATGGGTATTTGAACCGATTTTATCATTGATTTGAATGTTTGCATAGATTTTCTTGAATTCGTTTTATTTTATATTCAAATTCATTCATATTTTCTAAAGTTTTGAAATATTTTTATTAAAAAATTTCAAAGCATTGAATTTTTCAAATCAATACAAATCTTTATATTTTCATTGAAAACCATACACTAGTCACTAGTGTTCACAAAATCTACTCAACTTTACAATCAAAAAATGCAACTTTTTTATTACTTTAAAATAAATAGTAATGAATAGAATCTGTTCTTAATAGTGATCTGAATCTTGAGCTGAACTCCAAAAATCTTAATCTCGTTTTGAACGCGAGTTTTAAAGTTTGAGTTTGAGATTTGTATGCGAACACCAGTATTGAGCCAAATATTGTAAGAAACTTATGAAATAATAAAAGCAAAACATTTGCAACTTTATTACAAAAAAAACTTTTTTATATATTTATTAAATTTGAATAAACTAATAAAATATTAGTTCAAAAACCAAACAAAATATAAACACATTTACCGTTAACTAAACCCTTGCTTTTATAATGTAATAATAAATAATCATGTTAGTTTTTCACTTTAGAATATTATTCACATATAAATATTGTGAATTTTAAACAATTTTTGTTCATAAATCTCCATAATTTACAACAAAATTATTTTTAATAAATGTGTATATTTTTACATTAAATATTTGATTGTTAATAAAAAAATTCTTATAAGATTTGCATTCAGTTTAATAATTATAAGTAATTTATTAATAATACTTATTATAAGTTAAGCGCAAATAAGCATTAAATTTATTTATTTATTGTTTAATTGTTATAATTATGCTAAATATCTAATAAAATTTAATTAATTAATTAACAATTGTAAAGAACCTCAAAATTTTGAACATTCATTCATTCACTAATGTATCAAAATATGTGAAGTTATGCTTCGCTATAAAAGATTCAAACATTTATCTCAAGAATAACAGCTTTTGATGACGAATGAAAGACGAATGGAAAGAATATTCAGCCTTTTCAAGCAAATGATGTGAACAATTGTGTTATACATAGTATAAGAATGATGTGAATAGTGTCAGCCCTTATTCCTGAGGAGTATTACTTGTGCCACTTCTGACAGCTTCACGTCAATCGGTTGTCTGTCGTCGTAAAGAGTGGGCGCATGAAGTATAATGCCTTCAAATGATGTACAAAAGGCTCATTGAAATTCATATCAATTCACAGACTAGTCTATACTGACCACATGTG